AATGTGATGGACTGATCTGTGTGTCACTGTAGAGAGATTCAGTCAACCTAGTTTACATATCACCAACTGACCAGTTTTTTGTGGTGAGAACATTAAAACTCTATTCTTTCAGCAATTCAAAATGCATGACCATTGTTGTCAACTGTGGTCCTCTGCTTTCTTCTGGACCTTCTCTTTCCTGGGTTCTTAATGTCCCTGCCTCACTCACGTTGGATTCTGCCCCCTGTTCTTCCCTCCGTGAGAATTGCTGCTTCCTGCTTGGGAAGGGAATTGGGCTTATAGGTCTGGAGAATTTATAGGACTGGCTCGTTCAGCACCTTCAGCCCAGCAAATCCAAGTCACTTAGCAGGAATGGGGCAAGGGCCTCTCCTGGGTGGCTGCTGGGGGACCAGCTCTCTGGTCTCTGGATGTCAGTGGCCACACAACACTGGTGCCACGTTGGTCCCAGGGCTGTGGGTGGTCCCATACCAAGTTTGTGGGGGGTGGAGGAGTATGGGGCCTTGCTGCCACCTTGTTCTCATCTGTGTGTTATCTGAGTGTCTTTGTTGTGTGTTCCTGAGCCTTTGGCTTTGGGGGCAGATCTCAGGAATTTCAAAGCTACAAGGCTGCCTCCACAATCTTTCCAGAATTCTCCCTGTAAGACAGAGAGCAGAAGAGAGGGCGAGAGACTATAAGAATCAATTAAGACAAGCCTTGTAAAAAAAAAAGGCTTTTTCTTGGTAGCTATTATTGTAATTAAACATCTCCTCCCCACCACCAGCCTATGCACTTTGTGAGAGTAGTGATCATACTTTATTCATACTATATTCCCAGGGAATGTTACAGTACCCCTCATGTAGGAAAGACTCAATCAATCCCGGTTGCATTGCATTAATGTAATATTTCTTGCTGGAAACTGTGATTCTACCAATTTTCTTTTTCCTATTAGAGCTAGACAACTGCTGGAAAATAACAGATCTATGCAGTCCATTTATATTTGCAGTTCCGAACACATTTTCTTTTCTGAAGGTAAAAGAATATGATAGACCAGGAAACCTGAGGTGATTAAATCATTAAAATTTAAAAGACCCTATTTGATCTTTACTGATGGTTGCTTCCTATTTTAGAAAATAAATTAGCATAAAAGTTTTCAAAATTGCATTTGTAAAAATCAGTGCAAAAAAACTGTAGCTGTTATTATCACTCCTTCTGTTTAATTGCTTTTTTTTTTTTTTGCAGTCCACAAAGTTGCTTTGCATAAATAATCTTAATGGTGCTCACAGCATCCTTTTGAAGTAGGTGATCTAGTAAGATGAGCTACATTAATGCTCAGAGTTAAATAGCTCTCAGGGAACTAAGTCTGGATTTAATCTGTCTCCCAGTCTTCTACGGATAGTGGATTGTCGCTAAAACTTGCTCACATTGCCCAATTTCCTCCTCCTTTACCCAAGTCAAAAAATGTTCAGGAGAATTGGAGAGAAAGGTCTAGCAGAGGCCCCGGTTCTGACTGTTTTCAGACTCCACAGCTGGTTCCATTAGAGGAAAAGGAGATCCTGACCCTCGGTCCAAGATGACAGGAGGAGGAAGTGGTTTGTTTTTTCTTCTTCAAAGCTCTGCATATATCTGTCTCCACATTAATCACTAATTTTACCTAGAGAAGCTTTTGTTCACAACTGCAATTTCTTGGAGACTTTTCACAATGAAAATAATTTCATTTGTTTTCTTCTCAAAACATGCAGGACACCCTATTTACCCTGCCAGTTCCAAGTCTGCCAGCTACAATTAGAAGAGAAAAAAAAAAAAAAAAAAACAGGAATGGTTGTTTTGTAGGCCAAGGAGGGTTTTGCCATTTGTGTCCACTAAACAAGTGTCTCAAACTTGAAAGAGATGAGGATCCTGTTAAAACATAGACACTAATTCAGGAGCTCAGCAGACAGCTCCTCAGACAGCAATCCCCACTCCCTCCCAGGAGACGACATCAGTCCTGTGGACCGTAGGTGAAGCAGCAAGGCCTCTCAGTGGCTCTCAAACTTAAGCAAAGTCAGAACCACCTGAGGCTTGTTAATACAGTCGTCACCCTTTATTGAGAGTCTCGCTTTCTACGATTTCAGTTGCCCATGGTCAACTGCAGTCAAAAAACATGAAATAAAGTATTCCGGAAAAAAACAACTAGTGAGTTTTAAGTTGTTCACTGTCTGGATTAACATGGTGAATCTCATACTGTCCTGCTCCATACTATGCAAAACATGAATCATCCTTTTGCCTGAATATCCACATGGTATATGCTACCTGCTCGTCACTCAATCAGCAGTCATCTCAGTTATCAGACGACAGTGGTGGTATCACAGTGTTTATGTTAATAATAGTCTGTTTATTAGAATATTAATAATTTTCTATTTTATTATTAAATATTGCTGTCAATCTCTTACTCTCCTTAATTTATAAATTAAAACTTTATCATATATATATATATATATATATATATATATATATATATATGAAAAATAATATATATAGAACTCAGTACTATGTGAAGTTTCAGACATTCCCTAAGGGTCTTGGAACATATCCTCCTTGGATAAGAGGGGTGCTGTACTCAAATTTCTGGATCCCACTCCAAAACAGCTAATTCTGCAGGTCAGGATGTAGCTTGGGCATTTATTTGTAACAAGTTCCCAGGGGATGTTGATTCTGCTGATCTAATGTATTTGTTGATAATGCTTAAGGTAATTTGCATATTTAAGTCCTAAAGATGAAAAAAATCTTAAATATCCTCACTAATCAATCTCAAGTTCAAACACCGAAGAAACTGGAAATATTTGTGTTTATCTTCATACAGAATGATAGTCCTGTCTTGCAGCACTGCGTTTGTAGGGCATTATTTATTTTTTTAGAGTTGTCAATTAATAAATACTTATTTTTATCCACTACAGTAGCACACTGCACTTATTAGTCTTTATAGTCATTTCACTGGATTGTAGCAATTTAAGCAAGTCAGACAGCCTGTACCAAGGGGCTCAGGTATTAAGAATGTCAATATGTGAGCGCAAATTTCCTACTTGGCAGCAGGGGGCAGCAGTATCGCCTGTATTTTATAGCTGGGGGAGAATGGGAAACAAACCTTGAGTATCAGCATCCAGCTATTATTTGAACAAAACTGGGTGGCCTTCTTCTGAATATAAGAACTGCAAAGCGTCATGATTCACAAGATCACAACAGTTCCTGCCTTAGTTCTGAAAAAGAACAATGATGATAAAAGAATATTTTACTGAAGTATAGAATATAATAATATGGAATACAAGCCATCTAGGAATAAATGAGTCCTAAAAGCTTATGTCTTAGAAAACATTTTACTTGAAATAAATATGTCATATGAATCCAATCAAAAATATCTTAAAAACTATGTATTTATTATTTTGTGCAGATCAAAAATATCTGCTGTGAGCAATGCCTCTGGTTTCTTGCCCAAACCCAACCTGACACTCCCCAGAGACACCTCTTCTGCTACCCGCTCAAGGAGGGGGGCTGATTTCTCCCACCTGTCTTAGACCTCTGTGCTTCTGACCTTCACCTCCACATCAGTCTACTCCTTCTCTGCCCTCCCCACCTCTCCTTCTACCCTGCCCCAGAGAAAAAGCTTCACAGACCCTGCTTTAGACAGCACTGCTACGGTGTCCTCCCAGGTCACCCGCCACATTCCCGACCACTTCAGCTCCCAGCCCTCTGACAGTTCCCAGCATCACTGCTACAACTTGTGAGGTGTATATTGCCACAGGGGTCCTGTCCTCTTTCCCAGGATGCCATTGCCCATTAGATACTAGCCTCCACTTCTGGGCACAACCAAGACCTCCTTGTGCTCAGAACTTGCTCCTTCACAGTCTCCGCCTCAAGCATCCCCCTCTTGGACTCCCCACTTTCTCCAGCTACGCTCTTCCGCACCAACAGCTCTTTGATCCCACTGGGACCTACAGCTCCCTGACGCTAGATTTACTAATGGACTCCATCTTCTTCCTGGTTTTCCTCCATTTTCTCCAGCGCCGTCTTGGACTCCAGCGCCCACCATGGTGATCATTCCCTCCCTGTGCAGTCAGCGCTTTCTCCTGTTCCTTCAGAGCGATGTTAACCTGGCAAAAGCACAACTCTGCCGGGGCTTCACCTGCACCTGTGCACCTGAATGTACTCAGAAAACTCCTGCCTGAACCAACGGGCCGCCCTTCAGTGCACGATCATGAACCTCAACAGTGCCCTTGGAGCTGCCTGGCCACCTCGTGTTCCCCTAGCTAGTGAGTCCCCCTCTAGTCTGGAAGCCTGTTCATTCCTCTCCTCTCTCCTCAGACTCACTTTTAGTTGATGATCTCATTTTCTATTTTACTGAGAAAGTGGATCCAAAGAGGATGTCTCCCTCTACCCACCCACCTGTCTCTTGATTTATACCTGCCTTCCCTCCTGCTACTGTGGAGGAACAAACTGCTCCTGCTTCTCACACCTTTGTGGAATTCCCCCCTAAGCCCACTAAGTCCCTTCCCTTCCTGCCGTCTTGAGGACGAGGCTCCAGCAGATCTGCCAACCCTCTCCTGCACCATGCAATTTCCATTCTCCTGGACCACCTCCTCCAGGACTCAAATGAGCAGTTATTTCTCATCCTGGGCAAAAGGAAGATAAGGAGAAAGGAGGAAAGAAAGAGGGAAAGATGGGAAAAGAAAGAGGAAGGAAGGAAGGAAGGAAG